AGGTTAGAAGAAGAACGTCTTATGGACATGCCTTTCGATGTTAGTGAGCCTCAAGTTGAAGGACACGACGGCTTTGCCAGATTCTACTGGAAACATGACGAACAATTGCATCCTTTGAGAAGGAAAAAGGTAGTGCAGAAGGATGGTCATGCTCCATGGAAAGAACAAGATATGCATATGAAAAGTATCGTGAAGTTAGAAGTCAAATTACATCTGGTCGAACCTTTACAGTAAACTTTGACGAAGGAAAGAACAAAGAAGGCTTCATGGGTGTACTTGCTGCCATTCAAGACGGAAATAAGAAAGGATACAATCTCAGACTAACCGTAACAGATTTAGATGGTCATATTTACTATGCACATGGCAATGTCACAACAACCGCACAACTTCTTGACGCTTTCAAGACTACAAAGAGAGAACAAATGGTTGACTCCGACTCAGACATTTTGAATGCAATTGAAGGAATTGCAAGCGTGAAGTTTGAATGGTACCAACATAACCCTCAAGCAGTCAGACAACTTGTTTGTTAGATGAGAAATATGAAATGGCATACCATTTTAAAACATTTTTTTTAAAACAGTATATTTTTACATATATTAAATGTTTCAGGTTGAAAAACAAAGAACAAAAGTAGCAGATACAAAACCATTAGACTATATCTTTACAAACGCTGGTAGGACTATATCAGATGAAGAAATTTCATCCGGTGCTTACAGGTTTGACTTTCCAATTCGTTGGCTTCAAAGTCCTTCAGATGCAAAGGCAATAGGATTTAGAAGAGTTTTGTTTTCAAAAAGAACTAACGCATTTATGTTCGCAGTATATTTTCATGGGCGGTATAGAGGTCATGATGGTCTACTAGACAAATTTGACGAAATGAGAATCTTTACGGTTCGTTCAGACGAAAGTCTTGAGAAGACTCTAAATGACTTTCAAACTCAAATAAACAAATACTACTGGGAATTTCAAGAAAAATACGATTCTTTACTAAATGGAACATACTATCTGAAACTAGAATATGACAAGATGAACTCCACAGTTTCATTTCAAAGGATTGAAAATAACCCTCCAAGAGATACACAGTTTTTATTTTGGCAAGTAGACAAACGTTCTTGGGCACAATTTCTTCGGTTACTAAACCAGAACGAACCATTACCACCTGACGGTCCGTTCTGGTTTATACGCCCACCAACAGATTTGACAGTTTATAGAAACGTGTTTGACCCTCAAAATGTCATGTGTCATGCAAGTTTCAGTTCAAGCAACAATAGTTTTCTTTGTATTGGTAAGGACTTTTATGACTTTGCTTCTAAATTCTATGAACCACCGAGTAACAGTTTCTCTGACTTTCAAGTTTGGTTCACAACAAATGGTGTGCAACATATTGTTCCATTGTACTACGACTTTTATCTCGAATTGTCTTTCATATATAACTACGGAGAAGTGCTGAAAAAGTATTGAAAAATGAGTTTTGGTTGAAAAAAAGAGGTGGAGCCAAAAGTGGCTCGACCTCAAAACAAGCATTTTGTGAAGAATATACCAACCCGCGGAAAACGGCGGGTTGCTTTTTATATAAAATTCACCCGTTGAATTTTCATGAATTTTACACCAAAAATATAATTTATGTTAGAATGTTAGATCTAACATGTTTTCTAACCTCTTTTCTAACATCGTAGAAAACTCATGAAAATCATGAAATTTACACCAAAAATAATGTTTAGGTGAAGAGGTGAGATTTCACTCTTTTTTCACCTGTTTTTTCACCCTCTTGAATTTGTCAAGACTTCTTCGTAAATGTTTTGTCGAAACTTCTTCGTAATGAGCGTAAATCAGACAAAAATATATTTAGGTGAAGAGGTGAGATGTCACCCGTTTTCTCACCTGTTTTCTCACCCGTTGGATTTTCATGAATTTCCTTAAGATAAAAAATATATTTTAGTTTTTTATAAAATATTTTTTTATTTTTATTGTAAGAACATGTTAGCAACAACAGCACCAAACTCGTTAGTTATGAACCCAACTTCAATGTTAGTAGAGATGAAAAGCTTCATTCCTTCTTCATATACTTTTGAAACAAAAATCCAGAAGATAAAGCAAGAACTTTTAACAAATAATTTAGACTGTAGTGCGAAAGATGAAACAAATGAACAGTATCTTTATGAAATGCAGGATATTATTGACCATCTACCTAAACTTCCTGAAATACAACAACAAAAACTCACTATTCCAGAATTTGAAGAAATTGAAGTCAAAGCAACTGACTCAGTTGAAATTAAGAAGTTCATACGAAAGGTAAACTATGAGTTTCTTGGATTTCATTGCAACCACAAAGTCATGGACAAAGATTGCGATATGGTATATAAGAACATCTCTGACATATATAAATCCGAAGAATTTAAGACCTACGACAACTTTGTTTCGTTAGTTGCAAAATGTGTATGGCAGATAAGAGATAAAGATAGAAGAGGTAAGATATGGAATGAACAGATAAAACCAGCAGCTTTTGAGATGAAGAAAACCATTGACGCCTTGGTTGTTTTAGCAGGTAAGGTTTCAGAATATAACGCAAAAATGAATCCGCAATGTTCTAAATGTAAAGCAGCAATGAGGAAATATAACTACTCCGTCAAAGAGATAGAACGTATGCGAAACGACTATGCAGATTTAAAGAAAGAAGCAGAAAAACCAGCAGAAGATAAAATGAACATGTTAGAATTTCTGAACAAAAACTATCCAACTGCTGACGATTTCCTTCTATCTGACGTCAAGAAGAAGTATAAAGAAACTTTCGGTATCGTTAAAACTTTTGACATACTGACAGAAGAAATAGAAGCTACGAAATTGTTTAGGATTTCAAATATACATCATACAATTCATGTAAAACGCTTATAAAATAACAGGTGAAAAAAGAGGTGAAAAAAGAGGTGAAATCTCACCTCTTCACCTAAAATATATTTTTGCTGAATTCCGTATGAAATTTCATGAGTTTTGTGTGTTTTAGACCATGTTAGAAAACGTGTTAGAAAACATGTTAGATCTAACATTCTAACATAAAATATATTTTTGCTGAATTCAGCACAAAAATCTGAGTAAAATGGCATAAGATTGCTTCCCGAGGAAAACCGAGAGAAGAGATTCCGTACGAAAACAGTGAAAAATTGCGAGTACGTAAGAAAACGTAGTCGCCAAAACTCTATGAAAATCATGAAAAAATGACCAAATTTCATGAATTTCCTTAAGATACAAGATAGAAAATAAAAGCTAGTTTTTTTTATTTTTTTTTATTTTGTATGTAAGAACAGAAATGTTAAACATTGAGTTTGAAACAGTTAAAAAGATAGACAATGAGACCAAGGTGGTTAGAATTGGTGATTTAAACGTAAGATACTCAAAGAAATACAAGAAATATTCTTTGTCAGACATTTTAACACTATCTGAAGGAAAGAAAACATCCCACGACTGGGTTAAAAATGCTTCTACTCAGAAAATTTTGACAAGAAATCCTGAGCTTATGATATCGGTAAGATTCTATGGAACTACAGCATATCTTATAGACAAAAGTCTTATACCAATAGTTTTGTTATGGTTAGACCCAGTTGTTGGATATAACTTCATAACATATGGTTCATTCGATACGGAACGTTGCAGTGAAGGCTTACTTTACATCGTTCAGAAACCGAAGGACTTCAATACAAAGAGATATAAGATAGGAAGAACATATAATATAACTCAAAGATATGACAGTACAGTCAATAGAGTTAAGGTTGTGTTTGTTAACGATATGAGAGCTGCTGAAACAGAACTACTCGAAAAGTTTGAGAAAATGTATGGTGCTCCCACGAAAGGTAAAGAAACGTTTGAAGTAGATGAGATAGGTAAAGCTATAAAATTATTTGACGAAGTTGCTGAAAAATACATGTAAAGCGTTTATTTTTGGTCTTTTATACAAGATAGAAAATAACGCTAATTTTATTTTTATTTATTTTTTTATTTTGTATGTAAAGACAGATATGTCAACAACAGAGAACACAACAACAGTTATAGTCCATGAAGCTATAAATGAAGAATATGAGTGGGTTCAGTTTAACAAACAGTTACGTCTCATTCGTTCGGTCAAAGATGACATGTACCAAATGCAAAGTATTTTGAATGCTCTTCGTTCTACAAAGCAAGCACAAGACTGGTTTGAAAACCAACAGACAAAAGAACTTTTGAGCGAAGCACAGCGAGACATACTTTTTTATCTGAAAATCGTGAAAAATTGCCAAAATGGTTTGAGAGGTTGGTATGTACATAGACTTCTTGTAAATGCTGTTGCAATGTGGGCTTCACCTCGTTATGCTTGGTATGTTTGTAAACTTCTTGACGAAATTCATAGACAAGAACGTGAAGAGCTAGAGAACAAGCTTGAATCCAAAGACAAAAACACACTATGATATGAAAAGGTTGTACAATACTTACATTCAAAGAAGATTTGCCGCTACTGAAGGAAAAAATAACAGAGTATTTTGACAACTTCAAAGAGGAAGAGTAAATGAACCATTTATTTTTGGTCTTTTGTGAAAGTCAGAAAAAATAAAGTTAGTTTTATTTTTTTTTATTTTTTTATTTTGTATGTAAAGACAGATATGTCAACAACAGAGAACACAACAACTGCTATCGTTCATGAAGACATAAATGAAGAATATGAGTACATACAATATAACAAACAGTTACGTCTCATTCGTTCGGTCAAAGACGACATGTACCAAATGCAAAGTATTTTGAATGCTCTTCGTTCTACAAAGCAAGCATACCATTGGTTTGAAAACCAACAGACAAAAGAACTTTTAGAAGAATTTCCTCATATGTTTGCGTTCCTCGAAAAACCGAGGAACGAGATTCCATACGAAAATCGTAAAAATTTGCCAAATGATTTGAAAGGATATTATGTACATAGACTTCTTGTAAATGCTGTTGCAATGTGGGCTTCACCTCGCTATGCTTGTTATATTTTCATGATGTTAGATGAAATTCATAGACACGAACGTGAAGAGCTAGAGAACAAGCTTGAAGCAAAAGACAAAAACATACAGAAAAGAATACCACGTTCGGTACCAAAAGGAAAGGAAAAGAACTATAAGTATATGATTTATACTGAAGAGATGGAAAATGAAGAAGATAAAGATATGGTTATGTTGCATTTAGTCAGAAGAAACAACAAAAGCTTTTACGACCTTGCTAAGATTTACAAATCTGACAGAAATTGGTTCTATCGCGAAAACTTACCGATTTCAATGACACCAAATGAAGATGTGAAACAAATAGTTCAAGATACTTTACCTCAAACACACTATGATATTAAAGGTTGTACAATACTTACCTTCAAAGAAGATTTGCCGCTACTGAAAGAAAAAATAACAGAGTATTTTGACAACTTCAAACAAGCAGAGTAAATGAACCATTTATTTTTCAAGCTTGACTTCAGATGGCTCAGGTAGCTCTAGATGGTAAATTGTCTTGTCAAATCCTTCTGGCATTCCGAGTCCTTCCTTCCGATAGGAAAAAAATTTCCCGACAACTGGAAAAAAATTTCCCGACAACTGGAAAAAATTTTCCTGACAACTGGAAAAAAATTTCCTTCCAACTGGAAAAATTTTTCTTGTTGTTCGTCCGTAAACCATTCAAATTTTCGAAAATTGAGAACTTTTTGGTCGAACGACAGAAAAAGTTTTTCCTTCCGACAGGAAAAGTTCTTCCTTCCGACAGGAAAAGTCCTTCCTTCCGACAGGAAAATAACAGAGTATTTTGACAACTTCAAACAAGTAGGGTAGATGAACCATTTATTTTTCAAGCTTGACTTTTTACAATTTGAACTTTGTTTGCGTAGATATGAATTCTGAAAGAAGTATGAGGGTCTTGTATGACTTTGTACTTCTCCCATAGTTCATGTCTGTCAAACTTACCTGCCATGGACTCTTTCATAAGTTCCATGAAATCGTCTTCGGACAATCCAGGGAAAAGTACAATGTCAGTAAGTATTCTCTTTACATCCTTACTTAAACTCTTTGCTGTCTGTACACAAATGACAACAGAGATGTTGAAGTGTCTGTAGCTTCTTAAGAATTCGACACATATCTTGTTCTCTGTTCTTTAACAAAGGATGAGAGGCGAAATCATCTAAGATAAGAAGACATCTATGAGGGTACGTTTTCCAATCGTAAGATTGCAATTTCTTCGAAATGTATTCTATCTCTTTCTGTTTGTTTCTGAAGTGTTTCTTCTCTAATATTCTCTGCATTTCCTCATTTGGGTCTTTAAACTTCGAATTGACATACTCATTTATAGCATTGTACTTCAAAACTCTTCTTTGGTACTTCTTTATCCAATCTAACAACTCAGTATCCTTTATACATACTAACTTAGACTTTTTTATAATATCTTTGAACGAATTTACGGTTTGGTCGAATTGACCAGAAGTACTACAAATGACTACTAACTCATAGAATGGGTTCTTCTCATCTAGTTCTTGTTGTTGTGCAGCCATTTTAAGATAAGTGAAAGTCTTGCCCGACCCAGGTGGTGCGATTAGACCTGTTATACCATTCTGAGCAAATAAGAACTTGTCATGTATAGGCTTTATCTGAGCATTTTCTAACTTCCTCTTGTTCTTATTTAAAACATTCTCAAATTTCTTGTCAATGTCAGCAAACTTTTTTTCTAACATATTTTTAGAAAAATTAAAATTTTTATCTTTTTGAAAATGTCTAGCGATTTCGCTATCTATATTCGAGACAAGCTTTTTGACTCTAAAACATCTGTCGACCATAAAATCTTACATAGTGTAAACAAGAAAGGTGAATTTGTTCTAAAGTTCTGTTTCTGGGAATATGACAAGAACCATAAAACATTACAAAGAGCAGTCTTAAAATTTGTCAATGACAGACTTGTTGACAGAGATGACGCCGATTGGAAAGATGAAGTCCAACAAAAGTTCTTAGAATGCAAAGAAGGCACATGCGCTGTTCTTGAAGATGAAATAGAAAACAGAATAGAAGAGCTATTAAAGGACAAAGAACTTTTACATAAATATGGTTGCGCCAAATTTGACATAACTCCACCGAGAAGAAGAAGAAGAAGAGAGAAAGAAAGAAAAGAAAGTAGAAGAAGAGAAAAAAGAACCTGAACCAGTTCCAGAGAAAAAGAAATTTGACATGTAAAAATAAAATTTTATTTTTAGAACATTTCTGGGTCAATGTCAATGTTCTCTTCCTCTTTAGGAGCAAACACTGGCTTAGACTCTAAAATCTTTTTACCCAATTTACCTTGAACTTCAACTATCTTAGACTCATAATATTCATAGTCGTCTGTCTTCTTGGTTCATAAGGTATAACAAGTTTGTATGCTTTGCCTTCTTTAAGGTTTGAGAACCTTCTGTCAAAATTTTCTTTGACTGTTAAACAAACCTCTATGTCTAAGTCTTCAAATTTCGCACCATTTTTAGTCACAATAGCAAACTTAACTGGTTCGATGTTCCAAACTTTGTCAAATGTAGACTTTTCAAAATGGTAGAAGTAAACATTCAAATATGTGAATGGGTCTAGTTCTTCTTTAAGTCCTGACATGTACTTGTTTACTGAAATATATTTCGTCATCTTTTCTATCGGATAAAAAAATATTTTTTTTAAATTTACTCATAAAAATTTTTCTTTGTATATACACCATTCTGTACGTCTAAAAGACTTTTGACATTTGCCAAGAATGTTCGTTTAGACGCTGTCATATAACCATATTCTTGACAATATTGTTTATATTCATCGTACAATGACCTTTCATCTAAACACTCAAAGTTAGTCTCTTCTATGAACAGTTCATATACACTCTTGTTTGCTTCTAACAATGTTTGTCTTTCTTCGGTATGTGGAATTTGTCTTGGATTGAACTTAGAAATATCTAATGTCATGAAATATGAGAACAAGTGGTTGTAAAAGTTAGGTGTCAAAGTTTCTGCTAAGTCGTCAAAATATTCTGTATCTTGCATATGAGAATCTGACGTTCTGACAACTACATATCTTCTGTCAGAACTTTCTAACTTCATCGGAACAGTATTGTTTGAAACCATAATGAAGTTTGCAACATTTTCACAAACTCTTTGGTCTTTATATTTTCTTTCAACAACTCCAACTTTGTCTGTTATAAGACTCTTCAAAGCATCTGAGTTCAAAACTTTTGTTGTATCTATACTTTGAAGTTCGTTACATACTATAAGTTTCATATTCTCAATTGAAGAGTTAAATTTACCGCAGATGTTTTCTAAGTTTGTCATATTAGGGTTCGAATAGCCCTCTAACAGTTTGCACAAAATATCTGTAAAGAATGTGTTCTTACCAGTTCCTTGTTTTCCAATTATAAGAGAGCAGTTTCATTCTTAGCACTTGGATGTTGTAAGATGTTTGCAAACCAACATAAGATATACTCATAGACTCTTTCGTTTCCATTGCATATAATTTCTTTGACATGGTCTAACCAAGCTTCTATAATATTTTCTTTCCATTCTACTTGTTCGTATTTATATCCAGTGAAGATAGAATAGAAGTTTGGAGAAGGTGTATAGAACTTTATACCTCGAACTGAAAAATCTTCTAACTTTGACAATAAGATATCCCAAGCATCTAACATCTTCATGCCAACTTGTACGACTTTTATTTTCTTAAGTTTCTGTCTACATTCTTGTTCTGAAACTATTGTTGCTTTAGGTTTGTTAAAGACAACATCCCATTCTTTCATAACATAACATTCTGGGGCAGAGTCGACATAAATGACTAAACGTTTCAAATTCTCGACTGCTTTGTTATAGTCTCGAAATGGACACATATTTCTGAATGCTTGGAAGTCATAAAAATCTGAAACATCTATTCTGTACATTTTTATAAAAATAAAAAAAATATTATTTTTTATTCTTGACTTTGTTGTTCCATTTGTTGCATTTGTTGTTCTTGAGCTATTTGTTGTTGAAGTTGTTCTTGTAATACAATACTTTCACCAGTTGCATCTTCCAATTCGAAACTTTCTGCCGTCATTGACAAATACATAGGACATAAAAGTTTTACAGGAACAAAGTTTGCGTCAACTAATGTCAACGTTATACTTGCCAAAGTGTTTGAGTTCACTAAGGTTGAAAATTCTGCATTCGAATGAACAATAGGCAAACCAGCAGAGAAAAGTATTGTTTATACGCATAAGTATCTTTTGGTCATAATAGTTCTGTCGACATTCGAATAACACTTTGAACCTAATTTGAAACAATATATAAAATAGGTGTACTTAAAGTCAATGGAACAGACATTCCTTGTATGACACCTTTTCCTGTTATAGGAAACTGTTGGTAGTAAAAACCAGATATAAGTTTTGTATTATAGCTCATATTGTTTATAGTAAACTCAGTCGGACATCCAAACATAATGAAACCTGCTCTAGTTGCAGCACATGTTACACTCGTCCTTAAAGTATTAAATAAGTCAACAAAACCTGTTGGTGTATATCTGAGTAAGTATCTTCAAAGGAGTATTTTTTACCATTCACAACAATAAAGTCTTCTGGTGTCAAAAGAGCAAAACAGGCTTTAGTCGTCATCGTTTTAAGGTCAGTTTACAATATCGTCCTTAGGACTTTGTAAGTTTGTTGTTATAGAATTATATGACTCAGGGTTTTTAGTCGTAATAGTATAAACCATTATATCTTCTGCCATTTACTTAGCAAATAAATTTTAATGAAATGTTGTGGTCGTCAAATATTTTTATGACGTCTGGGAAACTATACTTTAAGTTCAACGTTTCACCTCCTTTCATAACGTATATCTTGTCAATGACATTATATGAAACACCACAGCAAGCAATGTCGGGTTCTATTTCTTTGATGTTTATATCGTCTGCCTCTGTCAAAAGTTTCAATAGTTCTTTCAAGACTTCAATGAGGTGCAATGACATATGAGTTCACTTTTACAGGGTTGTGTTCGACCAAGTTTAAACATTAGACCCAAAGCTTGACAAATCTTTCTCCTGAGTTTTAAGTTTGTCTTTAAGTTGTTGGTAGTCGTTTCGAATATCTGCAACAGAACTTAAGTCTCTGCTAACTTCAGGGTATGTTGTTCTTTTACAGGAACTATTGTTATACCATCTTCGTCTTCGTATGGTTTCCCCACTTCAACATCTCTTTCTTTGACATTGACAACAACACTTTGACTGTTTGTTTGAGTTGGTGAATTTAACTTCACATCTGCCCGCCATTAAACCTTTTGAAACACTTACGCTTCTATTTTTCGGAAATGACATTTTACTTAGAATAAAAAAGATGGACGTATTTGAGTATCTCTTCGAATTGAAGCAAAACAAAGTTTACACACACAAACAATACAAATACATTGACAGAATAGTTCTTTATACAAACAATGGAAAATGTTATAGAATAGCAGTCTTTGCTGAACCAAAATATTTTCATAAAGCAAAGAAAGTTGGTATAACTGAAATGGTGAAAGTTCTTGAAGCAGACAAAAATATAACAACAAAACTGACCGATATTTCTAAAGGTAAGTTTATAATACAATATTATATCAAAAACTGGCGTACTGTCAATATTGACGGAGAGAAGTCAGTTCAAGAACAACTTACTGACCTGCTGCCAAAATCTGCTCGATGGAAGCTGTCGTTATACCAATCTGAGGAGCCCCAGCAGGTTTCATCGAACGAATCTTCAAAAAGAGCATCTTCCGTGAAAAAGTGCTATTGGTTTTGTAAACTTCTTTGCTTTCAATTCATCTGGACCGTCTCTGTCACCAGTATATTTGTATTTGAACTGTACCAACAGTTGAAATACCACCCATAAAGTCTTCTGAGTCAGCAAATGGAATGCCAAGCAAAAAGTTTGAACGGTCTCCATTTGTATATTGAGTTTTTTGAGCTCCTGTATGAGTCCATACTTTCACATATGGCATAATAGAACTTTGCATTTCAGGGTTAATGGTTGTTGTGAAGTTGTTGTTAAAGTTCATAGCATCTAATGTCAAGTTGTATGACCTCATATCCTCAACTGTAGAATATTCTTCTCTTGGATAGTATTTGCCATCTATGTTTATATGATATTTAATACCGGGGTTGTAGAAGCAAGAATAGTCATTTATAGTTCGTCTGAACAGTACAAACATAGTATCTGCATGTTTCATTGCAGTTGTTAAGGCAATATCTGTTCTTGCACCTGGGTCAGCACTTTGGTTTCCAACTTCACCTGCAAAGTCTTTGACAGATATTTGGTGTATAGGGAACATAAGTGGAACTGCAATATATTTGGCAGCTAAAGCATTTGAAATATCTGGGTCCAACATATAGACTGCAAGTCTGCTTTCTATTCTCTTGCATTCAAATTTTTCGCATGTGAACTTAACTGGTCCCAAGCATCTCCAGCAGCATTGAAATAATAGTTTACTTCAGTGTTGAAGTTTGAGAAACCAAAGTCTAAGTCAACTTTGTTTTTGCAAAAGTCGGCGAATGACATTTATTTGTTCCCACTACTTCTGTAAGAGTGAATGGGTCTTGTGTTGGTGCAATGACTAAGTTATTTTTGCTTGGAGTAAGTTCGATAGAAATTTTTCCTGCCCAGTTTGGCAAGTATCTTAAAAACCTGAAGATGAGGAAAGATGACAAAGGAACTCTAAGTTTCAATTTTACTTTGGTTACTGCTGCTGCAGTTTGTCCAGAAAGGTCAACATAAACTCCTGGAACGTTAGGGTCAAGTCTTCTTATTTTCTCAATAGTTGCATACTGGTCTGTTTGTTCTCTAGCTTGTGGTTGTACTGAGTTTCTCAAAGCGAACCATTCATAGTTTGCCCATGTTACTGTTTGAACTAAGTCAGAGTTAGAATATATCTTATATCCCATGAAAACTTCTGGAGCATATTGGTATCCGACATAGAAAATTCCATTGCAACCTTTCTTGTCAGACAACTTGGCAGAAGGTTTTATTTCAATGTCTTGTTCCACGTATAAGAATGAGTTGTCAATAGAAATAATATGAAACCTGTCGCATGCAATATCTACTGTTGTTGAAGAACCTTCTCCAAACTCACCTACATTTCCATAAGAAACAGCAGTTGTATATTCGTAAGTTCCAGGAACTATTTCTGACCTTCTAATGGCATTGTCGCATTCGTTATACCATTCGGAAACATTTCCATTCATAGCATCCAAAACTGTTGCGTTATATTCTGAGCGGCGTACATTTCATATGAGTAAAAATATAGAATAGTTGGATTTATATGTCATAATAGAACCCACTCCGACCAAGCTTTACTTTCTTCCTGACTGAGTTTTTAACTCTTCTTTTTCCTTCATTGCCCTCTGCTTGAAGTTGTTGCATCTTTGCATTATGTTCATCTAGTATGTTTGCAAATTTCCCATGTCCTTTTTGCCTTTTGGCTCTGGTCGCCCATCTCAGGTAACCTATATCCTAGAAAGAGTTTGTCATAGTCTGTATTTGAGTCTTCGCGTATTGTTTGCATGACTCTTTCCTGAGTTTCCGGTTCAAGCTCTTCCAAACAGTGCCTGTCCATATGGAATATGCTCGTTTCCAAATATATGTTTTTGTAGCCATTCTGGTTTTCTTTCCATGTTACCAACTATATCTTTTGTGAATGGGAAAGCTTTTACCCAATCTTTCAGTCTTGCGTCATTTATTTCTGTAGTTGGTTTTATTTTGTCAAGGAACATGTTTTTCAATACTAACATTTCATTTGGTACTGTCCATTTGAGTTTTCTTAAATATTCATCCCTTCTCGGTTCATTGTCTGCAAAGTAAGTTTTTATGACATTTTGTAAACTTTCGTTTGCAAGGTCATGTACAATAGGTTCTCTTCCTTCTCCCTCCCTAACTTTCTTTCTAAACTCTTCACCAAATATACCATCTCTATGGTTCTGTGTAGTTCTTTGAGATAAATGTTCTAGAACGTCAGGTGTTATATTTCCATCAGCCATGTTCATTTCATACTGGTCCAAAATATCTGCATGTTTCATATCTTTCAATGGCATTAAAGCCGCGCTTAAAATACCAGCTATATCTCGTTCACCATTGACTTCCATTGCGTCTACAACTTCTTGGAATTGTGGTTGTAAGTTTATGAACCACCTATCTGGATTAGCTTTATGACCCCATCTCATTGTAGTTCCATCGTCTGCAGAAACAAAAAGTAGGTTTGTTTCCATCTTGGTTAGGTTCTGAATGAACTTTAAACAATGTTTCATTTCTATATGTTTTTTTGAAATTTAACCTTTTATTTTCACCGAGTTCATCCGAAGATTGAACGTTAAATGCTCGTAAGTAAAAAGGGTTGTTGTATTTGTGTACATTTTTTTTTCAGTTCTTCCATTCTATGCTGGATATTTTCATCTGATGTTGGAGTCTTTTGTATGTCGGCAAACATTTTTTCGATATTCTTCTACTATGTCAGCCGAATTTTTTTTAGACTCTTGGAAAGATTCCATATTTCACCTCATGCTCTTGTTGAGGGTCAAGATTTTTCGGCTGTTCCAAATCTTCATCTAGTTCTGTGAAGTTAGTTTCCAAAGGAAGGACTTGTTCGTTTCCTTCAGGCTCTTCTAGCTGTTGTTGCTGAACTATTTCTTCCATGTCTGGTTGTATCTGAACTATTTCTTCCTGTGGAGTTTCTTGTACCTCATCTGCTGGCATTTCATATATTCCGAGACCGTTTTCAACAATTTCCCTATCTACGTCATCCGCATTCATAAGCTTTTGTTCTTTCGTTCCGTCTCTTTTTTTTACGCGTTTCATGACGAAAGTTGAATTGTCATTTAGCTCTGACATCAAATATCTCGGAGTAAATTTCATCCATGTCATTTGGATGATATGCTATTAAATCATATCCCTTAGCGAGCTTGTATTTTCCAGGTTTGAGATTATATCCGTTTTGGTGCTGAGCCATAAAGCTAAATAGGTTCGGGTCAGTATTTCCATCCTTGAACTTTCTAATAGCTTCTTTATATCTGTCACTAAAGTCAAACAGTATCTGGGAAACCACACTCTTTCTTTAAGCATTTTTAAGAATTCTTGGTTTCCTTGTTTCTCTACTTCTTTTATGTCCTTGCTCTGTTTGTGGTTGCTGTGCTGGTTGTGGAGGTGGTTGTTGTGCAGGGTTTTGAACTGTTGGTTGTTGGCTGGTTGTGGAGGTGGTTGTTGTGCTGGTTGTTGTGCATGCCTGTGTCTGTGTCCATGTGACGATGTAAATGTTCTAGGTAGTCCTGGTGCAGGTGCTTCTCTTGGAGGGTTTGGTGGTATATAAGTTCCACCAGCTGGCACATATGTTCCATCTGCAGCGTAATGTCCTACCTGACTTTTCGTTTTTAAGAAAGCATTTACTAGGTCTGTTTTTGGTCTGTTGTAACTCTTTTTCTTGACTTTTCACAACAGTTGCTCTAACGGGTCATAGGCACTTTGAACTGCCTGTCTCGTTGCTGCATCTGTTATTTTCGTCATATTTTGTGCTACTTCTCTTAAACTCGTTGTCGAAACCTTCAGACTTCAGTTTCTTTCCAGATGAGAAGTCGTTCACTTGTTTCACCTTACTATGAAGAGCTTCGAAGGCGTTCTTAAAGTCAGCATTTGTTAAAGCTTCATTTGAACTATCTTCATCCGCTTGTATTTTTTGTCCTTATTGACCGCCTATGAGTTGGGCTGCTTTAGCGTTGGCTTGGGCATCTAACCAGTCATTATGTTAGCTTTTATATATTCTGCGCTTTTCATTGCCTTTTGCAAGCCGTCGTTATTTTTTACTTTCTTGTGCTAAGTTTTCATACTGTACGGTTTGGTTTGCAACTGTAAAAGTTTTTCTGCCTTTACATTTGCTTCAACTTCTTTTTTTATACTCATCGCTATCCATATATGTCTTCAGGGCTTTTTTGTTTTTATCTCTTCATCTTTCAGTATTTTATATTGAGTAGTATGGTTTTTCAAATTTATGACATCTTGTTCCATTTTTGCTACTTCTGCTGCTTTTTCTGACACTTTTTTCGCATATTCCTCTGTACTTAGTTCTTTCAGTTGTTCTTCTTTCTTCTTTTTCTCTACGTTTAACTCATTGAGTTTCTTTGGTGTCTGTCATATTCTAGTTTCTTTTCGTTTTCACTTATTTGTTTCTGTATGTCTATGTTTGACTTTTTGACATCTGTTATTTGATTTGAGTGAACTCAAATTCATTTGACTTGAGGGTATAGGCTGTTCCGTCTGCAGCTCCACCATAGCCTGCCATTTTCGCTAAAAGTGCCGCTCTTAAACCTCCACTCTGTGCACCAACAACTCGGTTTAAAAAAGCATAGGATTGCTTGACATTTGTTTGCAACATAGTGGGGTCATTCAGCATTTGTTGTTTGCAACTGTTGTTGTGGTGTCAGTTTTACTATTGGGATGTTTCAATGCTCTCTTCCTCTTACGTATATTCTTACGTAGCTTACGTGGCATTTTAAGTGAAGTTAAAAAGCGGTTTTTGACAGATGTTTATATGACACTTTCTCCAGTTTATAGGACCTCTCTCATATTCTATCTTGTCATGATTTCATCGTAAATGTTTTGTCAAGACTTCTTCGTAAATGTTTTGTCAAGACTTCATCGTAATGAGTGTAAAGGACCCAAAAATATATTTTATGTTAGAATGTTAGATCTAACACCTTTTCTAACATGTTTTCTAACATGGTCTAAAACTCTTGAATTTTCATGATTTCATCGTATATGTTTTGTCAAGACTTCTTCGTATATTTTTGTCAAGGTTTCATCGTACATGTTTTGTCAAAACTTTCTTGTCTATGTTTTGTCAAACTTCATCGTAAAGACTTTGTTGAGACTTTGTCAAACTTCATCGTAAATGTTTTGTCAAGACTTTCTTGTCTATGTTTTGTCAAGACTTTCTTGTCTATGTTTTGTCAAGACTTTCTTGTCTAATTTCTCATGAACTTTCTTGTCTATGTTTTGTCAAAACTTTCTTGTCTATGTTTTGTCGAAACATTTACGATGAAATCATGAAAATTCATGAAAATTCAAGAGTTTTAGACCATGTTAGAAAACATGTTAGAAAACATGTTAGATCTAACATTCTAACATAAATTATATTTTTGGGTCCTTTACGCTCATTACGAAGAAGTTTGACAAAAACATTTACGAAGAAGTTTTGACAAAACATGTACGATGAAACCTTGACAAAAACATTTACGAAGAAGTTTCGACAAAACATTTACGAAGAAGTCTTGACAAAACATTTACGATGAAATCATGAGTTTTCTACGATGTTAGAAAACATGTTAGAAAACGTGTTAGATCTAACATGCTAACATAAACATTATTTTTGGTCATTTACGCTCATTACGAAGAAGTTTGACAAAACATTTACGATGAAGAAGTCTTGACAAAACATTTACGAAGAAGTCTTGACAAAACATTTACGAAGAAGTCTTGACAAAACATTTACGAAGAAGTCTTGACAAAACATTTACGAAGAAGTCTTGACAAAACATTTACGAAGAAGTCTTGACAAAACATTTACGAAGAAGTCTTGACAAAACATTTACGATGAAATCATGACAAAAAAGTCAACGGCTGGTCGGCTGGGGTTCGGTCCTCCTCTTGGGTCTTGGGAAAAATTCTTAGGGCTAGAAGGCACGAAGTGCCTGGAAGCCCCACTACCTTTTTTTTTTTTTTTTTTTTTTTTTTTTTTTTTTTTTTTTTAATCAATGCCTCATCAAATCCATCAACATGATATTTAATTTTATTAATATTTAGATCCCAAATCAGCTTATTAACATAGTTTGTTTTCACTTATCTATGTTAAAATTATTAATTATACTATAAAATCATATTTATTTAAATATTTTTTTTATTAATATTTTATCAAATCGAAAGAACTCACATGATTTGAAGTGGAAAAATTACCCTTCTAATCAAATATTTTCCATATTATGTGTTTCCTCTTATGGTTAGTCAATGTTCGTTTTAAAATTTTATTGATTCCCTCAATTTTCGATTCTTATAAAATATTCAATGAGCCCATTGTAAATTTTACGGTTTGTTTTGCAAGAATTTAGATTCTACCTAAATACATCAAAACATATCTGACATTCAGATTTGCCTCAATTTTTTCATAAAAAATCCGCTGTCAGACAAATTGTCATTTGCCATTATTATGGGTATCATCCTCAACAAGCAACTTATGTATGCCGGAGTTGCATTTCTTGGCACCGTAGTCACTCATACTGCAGCGACAATGGAAAAGTATACTTGCTAGCAAAATCATTGAAGTAAATTACAGTACTTACTACTATTTTCCAATAGTATTCCTCGTTGAAATAATAGCAATTGTATTGTCCATTTGGATGTACAAAAAACTTGGAACTAGAATCAATTCAATAATAAACGGTATTTTAATCGCAATTGGTTTAATTATTGCGACATTCAATGCAGCCAACACTTCATATCTCGTTTATATTACTGGAACATTCATTGGTGTTGGATATATTATGTGTAATTTGATGAATCCATTATATATTTCTCATATTTCAATGTCAAATACAAGAAATTCATATGGAATATTCCATTTTATTGGTTTAGTAATTGGATCCATAAGTGGTTTTCGTATTGCAATATCTCCACATTGGAAAATTTTCTCATACGTTTATGCAGCCATCTCAATCATACAATCCATTCTTACTATCTTCATTCCTAACATGACTCCCGAAACTTCCGAAGAATTACAAGCTCCAAGAAACGTTAAACTTTGGTTCCATACAGCTGCATTAACGTTACTTCCATTTTTGTCTGGATTAAATGCAGTACCTAGGTACTGTGCTCCAATAGTACATGATCATTCAGTTGTTGATCAGGTTAACATAGTTAACATTGTTTTTTATGTATTAACGTTGATAACAATTATAACAATCATATTTACGATTTATTTCTTTGGATTAAGGAAGCATTGGATAGTTTCCTCTATTTTTGTATTAGTTTTCTTAATAATTGTTACAATATTAAATTTCATGAACAAATCTAACATATTTAGATTTATAATGGGAGATCTTTTTAA